TGTGCCTGACCTGCCATTTTGAAGCAGAAGCCTGTTAGTGTCTCTAAGCAATGAGAACGGGTCCACTAATGGGAAGTCTGCATCACAAACCCTGCTTTCCAGCTTTTGTTTAAATGGGGATAAGTCATCCATGTTTTATTGCAGATGGTCAGAATTTTTACATTGTTACAGAATGGGCCAAATTCATCATAATGTATAATGCCAACTCTGAGGACTTCAGGTACTTATTTCTGAGTAAAAATTGCAAAGGAGTTCTGTAACTCATTGTCCTTAATGAATAGCATTAACTCTTCCTTACGTTTCCCCCCACCCCTCTCAGTCGTGAAGACATGAAGCCAAATGCAAAAGTATGGACACTTCACAAGAAGACAATAGCAGGTACGTGGATACGTCTGGCCAAATGTATCAGCAATAATTGACAGCACTCAATTACAATCCGCTCACTAAAATTATTGAAGTAGCATTAAAAATAGAAACATGGCTTGCCTATGTTTCAAATGCTGCCTCATTTCTCATTTGAATACAAACACTATCTGCATATTCATAATAACCAGCCCCTCACATTTGATGGGCATACCTAGTTTTATGGCACTTTGCTTTTTTGTGCTTTGCAGATTTTGCATTTTTTGCAGACTGAAAGTCGGTGGCAAGTCTATTGGCACCATTTTCCCAACAGCATTTGCTCACTTTGTATCTATGTGTCACATTTTGGTAATTCTTGTGATTATTTCAAACTTGTTCATTGTATTTGTTAGGGTGATCTGTGATCAGTGAGCTTTGATGTTACTGTAGTAATCGCTTTGGGGAGCCACAAACCACACTAGCATAAGACAGCAAACTTAATTGATGAATGTTGCATGTGTTCTGACTGCTCCACCAACTGGCCATTCCCTGACTTCTCTCCTTCTCCTCAGGCCTCCCTACTCCCTGAGACACAACAGTATTAAAATTTGGCAATTAATAACCCTACAACAGCTTCTGAGTGTTCAAGTGAGAGAAAGAGTCAAACTATATGGAAAATATCATTGTCTTATTTTCAGGCCTTGCCACAGCCACCCCAGCTTCAGCAACCATGACCCCTGTCAGTCAGCAGCCATCGACACCAAGGCTAGACCCTCCACCAGCAGAAAGATGACAGCTTCCTGAAAGCTCAGATGATGGTGAGCATTTCTGGCAATAAGGTATTTTTAAATTAAGGTATGTACATTTTTTTGGACATAATGCTATTGCACACTTTCCAGACTACAGTATAGTGCAAACATAACTTTTTAAAAAATTTTGCTATCATTAATATAAAATTACATGAGGAACATTATGCTTACTAGACTCCCCCCTTCACCAAGTCCCCCCCCCACATACCCCATTAGTCACTGTCCATCAGCGTAGTAAGATGCTGTAAAATCACTACTTGTCTTCTTTGTGTTGC